AGTCGTTAGTGGCAGCCCTAATTTGATGCATCCTTCAATATCATTAAACCTCTCTGACTTGTTTTGTTGTAAACTACATTTTCAATTAATCTGGAGTATTTGTTTAGTCTGAGGAATTAAAGTCAGATCACAGGTTGTGGCATGTCAGCACACTAAAAACTATCGATGTAAAAATCTTCACAATATATTCAGTAATGTTTAAATGTCTATGCTCAAACAATGTTACACATTGGCCAAAGTGAGTGCTTGAAGGGTCTCTTTTTGCCATTGCTTTGCCCTGTAAAGTGGGACATGAGGGAGCTATATTGCCATGCTGCATGACTCATCAGTTTCCAACTTGCTCTTTTACTTTCACCCGACCTGATGTTGCAATCATGCGGTAATGATGGCTGCCACGTCCTCACATACCCTCATACACAGTGCTTTGTGTTTTAATAAATTCAGTGGGTATAGAAAAGTATCACTCCCCTTTAAAATAATCACATTTTGTTGCTTTGCAGCCTGAAATGAAGATGGACACAGTTTTGGTTTATCCATCTGTATTTACTTAGTGCAACTTATAACATCCTAGTGAAAGATATAACAGCAACATTAGGGATGCACGATATTATCGGAACGTTATCGGAATCGGCCGATAATGGCTTAAAATGCAAATATCGGCATTGGCCCGATATGAAAAATTATGCTTTTTGCCTTGCCGATAAGAAAGATATGCCTTGCCGATAAGATGAATAACTCCCATGTGCTCAGGGTGTGACAGCGATAAGATCATATCAGTAGTGTGGTCATTCTTGAATCAAACTTTTGCCTGAATGGTGGTGATTAGATTTATTATTTTGGATCGCCGCGCTTAATCTGAGAGAGCAAGTACAGAATGACGTGTCCAGTGTGCGATAGTCAAAAGTCACAAGTGTGTGCAGTGGCGGCAGCAACAACAGCCTCCCCTGGGTCCTAATGCCCATTCAGTAAGGTATTTTATTTATTTGCTGTTGAAAGTAAAATGCACAAATAACATTAAGATTGTGTTTCTGATTAAATAAAGCAGTAATAAAATGTCAAAATCAAAAGTTTTGATTTAAAGGTCAGAAGCTGTAGCTTACATTAATAAAAAATTACAAACAATGACACTTGTAAATTAAATTATTTTATACAGATTTATTCATTGTATAATGTTTTTTTTTTTTTCAAACGGATTATGAAAATCAAATACAATTTTCAGAATTGTTACAACTCTTTTGCTTTAGACCATCTACAAATGTTAAATCTTCAAATAAAATGTTAAGGTTACCACTGCATCTGTCTGGAAAAAAATGTAGTGATTGATTTTATAGTTGATTTATGGTTATTTTCAGCTTTCAGTGTACTCTCATTATAAAAGAGCTTCATTATTGTTTGAAGATTCTGAGGCAGATGAGACTAAAATTTAATTATTTTAGGGCTGCAACAACTAATCGATAATGAAAATAATCGACAACAAATGTCATTATTGATTAGTCATCTCTGCCCACGGTGCACAGAAAACTTCCGCCAGTCATATCAAATTATAGCAGTGAATAACGCATTGCTATGGACGAAATGCATTATTTTCTGACATGTTGGTGTTAGATCTTTCACTTGGATGTTATAAGCTGCACTGAGTAAATACAGCTGGATAAAACAAAAACTGTGTCCGTCTTCATTTAAGGCTGCAAAGCAACAAAAAGTGATTATTTTAAAGGGAGTTGATTCTTTTGTATACGCACTGTAAGTGGTAGGCCTGCACGATTAATCGTTTGTAAACCAAAATCGCGATTTGAAAGGGTGCGATTTTCAAATCGCAAGAGCTGTGATTATTTCTATGAAGGACTATCAAATATGTAAGCATCTACGTAGTTTTTGACAGTTTGCTTCATGCGCATTTTACTTTGATGCAGAGTTTAACCAATAGGGGGCATTTTAACACTGCACGTGCTGACTGAACCAGCAAATAACGCCATCTGGAAAAGATAAGCGCGAGCGGGAGCAGCAGTTCAACTTCCCAACAAAGTGTGTCTGCAGAAGAGCAAAGTCCTGCATATGTTTGGGATTATTTTGGATTTCAACGTTCTGATGTACTTCAAAGGCAAATAGTTTGTAAAACCTGTCGAACGTCTCTGTCGACCTCGCGAGGCAACACAACCAACCTGTATCAGCACCTGCAGAAGTATCACAGACAAATCTATGATGAATGCATGGCCAAAAGGCCCACCGATGAACACACTTCACACCGCGACTGACATCCAAGCAAACTTCAATTGCTCAAGCGTTATAAAGTGGCACACACTGGTGCAGTCTGTCTCGTATTTTCTTTATGACCGCGAAAAGAACTAAAATACTTCCGTCAGTTTTGATCGTACAGATAAGAATAAGGTATCGTTTGAAGCTGCAAAGGGTCTACTTTTATTTGTATATTGTCATAACAAAACAATGTATTTTTGAAAAATAAAAAATAAAATAAACGGTGCGTTCTCCGCCGTCTCTGTCACCTCTCTTCACAGACACGTAAATAAAACAACCTGAATCTCAGCGAATACTTGCCTCAAAGACATGAGAAATATATGTATAGAAAGCCTGAAATGTCTACCTTTAAATTAACTAAGTCACGTCCAAAACAAATATTCTCTGTTAAAGTAATCCGTATGAAACATACGCGATGTCCAGTTTTCCCGTCTCAACTCATTATATCTAAGGCGGTCACGCCCACGAGCCGATCGCGCTTTTCAGATTCTAAACATCCACGTGAGATGCACGCGCATGTAAACGCCCACATCGCCTCCACGTAAACAAACAAGTTCATCCCGGCTACTTTTTGTTTTTAAAAGAAGATGCGCTGAGAGAAATAACCCAGAATTTACCTCACAACGCAATGCGTCGCGCAGCTAGATCCAGTGGAGAATATCACTCTGATGAGTAGCCTAAGATTACTTGCATCTGTTGTTATTGTTATTGTGACATAACTTGTACACATTTTACTAGTTAGACTTTTCTAATTCCTGACTACATGTTTGAAATCAAGTGAAACATTTTGAAATATGTGATATTTCATTGTCTAAATGTCTCACAACGCCAGGATGTTTGTTTAATGTTTTAACATTTTTAGTGTGAGTGTTAACACTATGAATAAATGTTTGGCACAAAGGTGTGTTACTGTTCAAGTCTCAGTGTTCAGATCAGTATGTTCAATCATGTGTCCTT